CACTTTGAAATCTAAAGTTTAATTTTATCTTTTGTTTTATATCCCATATATTTAAACTTAAATTGCGACTTAATTAGTACTTTATATCGTAAATTTTTTTTTTGATTTGAATGTTATTTTAATTGCTTGATATATACATTTACTCTTTTTACAATTTGTGCAATCTCATTATCGGTAATAATTTTTCTAAAGACAGGTTTGGTATAAAACGGATGAAGAGAGCGCGCGTGCGGTGTATGAAAAAAAGTCCAATCTGAAGGAAAAAGATCCAATGCCACGATATGCTGCATCAACCAGTTAATTATCACTTAATATTTCTTCTGTATAATCAGACTGCTTTGACGCAATTCTCTAACATTAATAGCGTCACATAAATTATGAAACTGCCAAGTTGCCGAGTCGTTCAAATGTCATGCGATATTTCAATGCACAATTACTATCGAGGCGAACATCTAGGATTCTCGTCTGCAAAAACTTTTATGCATCGATTAGAGTGAGATTATATTTTCGCACGTGATAACATTGATTTGAAATATAAACGAGTTATAATTCGCGGTTGTAATTCGCGCGAAGAATACAGAAAAATGTTTGGTCGAGTACTAGAAATGGATAGATCAAACGTGTTTTGATCGATGTATATGTTATATATATACAATTTTTTAATATGTTTTACATGTGTTAATATATGTTATGTATATATATATATATATTTTTTTTTTATCTGAAAGATCCGGACGAAAAAATCGCATGAATGAAAAGTTGATGTATGACTACGTGAGAATTACTTCCCCTCGGATTATTTATTCGTCACAGGGTGTGTGTACGCAGGTGGAAAGCGGCACGAAAAACCTGAGGCATTCCGTGTATAATCATATCATCATTGTCAACGTGCATTGATTACAAAAAAGAGAGAAAGTCCGTAATTACTCAATCGCGTAATTAAACGCGCACATTTCCTCGGTCGGTCTTCCTACGCCGTGCGGCATATCAGTCACGTGATTTCCGATCGATTATCCGGCAATTCGCGACCGCTACGGTGAAGTCGTCAAACAAGCGCGGCCGTTCATCAATTCGCGAGTCACGTTACCCATTCGTTCTCATTTACCCGCGCCCGCTAATCGGAACTTCCCATCTGCGCGCTCCCTTACAGCGCGCGGCAATCTGCCCCGTGCATCTGCGAATCCCTTCGTTTTATTGAGTCATACTCTCCCTCGTACTCGATGCGTGTCTAAACTGGACATTCTTTCAAGTGTCCGCGTCGCGTCGAAACGTGATTAACGACGGTGTTAAAGTAATTGTGTCTCCATTTCGCGATGGCAAGGTAATTGTCTCACGACAGTACTATCGGAAAGTCATATGACAGGAAAAAAGAATTGAATAATTTCGTCGAAATGTATAGCAGGATGTATTTCAAAATGCATCGTACTAATTATAAGTCACTTTCCAAAACATATGTTACGAACAAATTCATATTAATCATAAGATAATTTATACACTTTCCTCGCTATCAAAAATGGTGAATCTTTGTTGAATTTTACATGTGCGTAGATAGTGATGTTTCGATCGATACGCTGTTAATGTTCGAAAAGATCCCCGAGGAAAGTGAATTTACGGGTCAGCTAACGCAGGATGAAAATTTCGACTCAGGCACGTACACAAGAGTCACTTGTACCGACGCACGTCTGCCAGTTCCAATCTCCCAATCCGTTCCCGCTAAAGCGTCGTCCTTTTCATTAATTTAAGAGACACCGTAAGAGGGTTTTTTTCACAAAGCGGAAGAGCAACAGGATAAAACGCAAGCTATCCACGATCGTAATCATAAGTAGCTCTTCGCACGCATGCGTGCGTATGCGTATTGGCGCAGCGAGATAAGGGCGACGGACACGCTAATTTACTTAAAGGAGATTAGACGGAAGAAGCGGAAGAAAGATACGACGCGGGGGAGATATGCAAATCCGCGCGCGGAAGCGTGCGGAGACCGCGGTAAGCTAAAGTGCGGCCCGGAACGACCTGTTGCGTCGTCGCGTCTCGTCTCGTATAGGACGCGGGGTTGCCGACGCGTCGATAAGATCGCCGATAGTTAACTTACCGTCGAGAGCTTTGCGCAGCATGAGAATCTCGTAGGAAGTAAGCCGGCGTAATAAGTACGTCAATAAACACCGCACGAAACCGCTTATTGCTCGACATCGTCGCGGCTCGTGGGATTTACGCGTCACGTAAAAGAGAAGACCTTCCTCCTCGTCACCCCTCTCTCCGTCCCGAAAGTCGCCCCTTTATCGCGTCCGTATCGATGCAAGAGAGCGATCAAAGTCAAAACGAGACTCGTCACGAATGTAACGACCCACTTAGAACGCTCCCGGAGAAGAGCTTGACGGCCGCGCTTATCGCGGAAAAATGTTCGTCTGCCGCCGGTTGATTTCGAGAGATCGCTTACTCTCTCGGAGGAAATGGAAACGAGTAAAGAGTGGCAGTGTTTTCATACGAAGCGTTAGTGAAAATATTGCCACTTGAAAGAATGAATGTTTCACTCAAGTTTAGTTCAGTTCTGGTCATAAGAAATACCATGTACATTAATTCTATATGCAGCACTCGTATAGTTGTCACGTTTACGTTTCTATATTTTTTTTCTAAGTACAGGTACGGGCGAGTATTTCCTTATAAAACGATAACCGCTGGAAGAATGAAGTTGCGCGTACGTCACAGCGACCGTCGAAGTGTTAAAGCGTCTTTGAAGATGTCTCAAAGGGTTCTTTGATATCTCGTTCTGTTACATCTCACGTTGTTCTACGTCGAGCGACGCGGATAAATTTAATGTAAAACGAGTGATTTCAAGCTTCCCGAGACAGCGAGTGGATTGTCATTAACATAAAATATGAGATTACGTCGATCGTATATGTAAAGTTTTTGCCACGAAGTATGGAAATATCATTGCCAAGCTCCGTATTCATTTTGTATATCATCAAACGCGTCTGCACTCCTCGTCGGGTGCGCACTTAGGCGCGACTAATCGAGGGAGGGGAAGGGAGACGGAAAAAAGAAAAGAGCGATTCGCACTTTTAATCGAGAAAAATGTTTCATTCTCATCGAATACGCCGGATGAGTTGCTTAATGGGATTACGTAAAACCGGCGGGAGTGATGGCGACGCAACGTTGTGTAACGTTAAACAACACAAAACATCGGCAATTCCGAACTACTTATGCGCTTTTCATAGCTGCGTTAGCGGTGTCTCGCTTAATGTGTATGCTCGCGTTCGCCCCGCCGCGCATTTTTCACCCTCCTCCTCGGTCATAATCGTCGTCGTTGCGACCGCAGCAAAAAGTTTTTACTACAAAGCGTTACGACAGACCCGAGAGTATAAACACGTGGGATCAATGGCGCGTCTATTACAATAACGACAGTGGCCACTGCGCGAACTGTAATTTATGTCGCATAAAGTGGAACAGCCGCGTGCACTGTGGCGCGCCGAGTAGACCTCGCGAATTATACCCGTAGTAATATCCTCGATACTCGAAATTCTCGAAAATATCGGTTGAGAGCTTACGATAAGTAAGCGCTGTTCCACCTTGCGCGCGTGCCGTGCAGATCGAAAGCTTTCGGAAAGTTGCCTGTAAAACTATTAACCCGTAACGAATAACGTCGCGAAACGATTGACAATAATGACTTCCACTGGCTAAGGGCAACAACCACCGCGTACTTTCACGCGCGTCGATACACGGCGATTAAGTTTTACGAGAGCTCGCCGATGGTACTTTCGATCGCAATTTGAGCGCGTGCTGTGTACCGGATGGTAAAAAAAAATCACTCCAAATATAACTTCGTGTTCCATGGCGCGCGATCTAGGCGATCTAGACCCCGAGGCTCTCTCTCTCTCTCTCTCTTTATGTGCGTGCGAGGTCCTTGCGCGAGCAACAATCTTGCCAGCGCATACGGCCATTATTACGTTGAAATTAGAAGGCTGTCAGTCATCGAGCGGCGGTCTTACTGAAACCTCATTATATTCCCCGCGTCCGAATCGACTGGGGGAGAAGAAGCTTTGAACGCCGTCCGAATTGGAGGTGACCAGTCGATGCAATCCCGACGTATGCAAAACCGTTGCGGCAAGGAGGAGCGAGAGAACCTTACGAGGGTCGCCAGGAGCCATCCCGCGAGGAATGCGGAGATCCTCGCGTGCGAAGAACCCTCGCGCGATTCCCGAGGGGCCCCGTTTCGGGCGCACAGCGAACGCCAAGTGCGCCTCTCTGATTCTCAAGCCGAAACAGACGTTATATTCGTTTAAACAATGTGCAACTCTCGAAATTTCTTGGAGTGGAATCTCATCCGGAAAGTAGAGCGGCCGCTGAATCAAGTGGCCTTTCGCTCGTGTAGAATGAATTCTCCGCTCTGAATGGTCGAGTGCATATTTTCACTCGAAACTGAAGGGTGAATCTGAAGCACGGTCGGCATCATGTATGCTGTGTATCATTTTCTAGACGGAGAATCACGCGATTTTTAGTCTTACGCGTAATGCATAAAATAAAAAAACGCGGAAGTAACTCTAATTATATAATTTATAGGTTTGTAATAGTTCGAATTATAATAGTTTCAACCTTAATCCGGATCCACAATAGATACATACAGTAAGCTTTTAGCCTTTTGCAATAAAATGTAACATAATTTCTGACAAAAAGCGTTTCCTAAGCTGCTAAAAGTCGCAATGACGCTTAAATTTGAAGGAATTGCGACATTCGGTAGAGCGCCAGAAACGTGTTTTGCTAGAAATTACATTACAATTTAGTGCCTGAAGCAAAAGCGAAATATAGAATACCGGTAGCCGAGAGGCCGTTAACAAAATAATTTCGGTATTCAATTCATAGTCCGTTGGTCTTCTTGGGCCTTTGAGACCTGCTATCGGATATTCTCATCGACGTTCTCGTTAATTTCGGGCCACTTACGTATGTTCGTGAAATTAACATAATTGCGCCACGCCGAGCTGTAATGCGAGCACTTTGTTTCCTTTCAGGAGAAGCTATTCACCTCGCCCGAGATTTCGGCTACGTGTGCGAGACCGAATTCCCCGCGAAGCAGGTCGCCGAATACCTCAGTCGGCAGCACTGCGAACCGCAGGATTCCTACAGGAGGAAAGAACTTCTTCATGCCACCAAGTGAGTATGCAGCATTGATCGTATTATCGTGACCTCGTTGCATCGTTGCAATGTTGTGATACTAAAAAGAAATGTTGATAAAAAAAGAAAGGACTATCCTATCTAGAATATTGTCCGACGAAGAAAGTCGGGTAAATGGTTTTGAAATTCTTCACTGCCCTCTCTCAGACAAATCACCAAAGAGCTGATGGACCTTCTGAACCAGGACCGATCGCCGCTTTGCAATACGCGACCGCAACACATCCTCGATCCAAGTATACAGAGACATCTCACCCATTTCTCGCTCATATCACACGGATTCGGAAGTCCCGCGATCGTGGCCGCACTAACGGCTATACAGGTACGTGTTATCGTCTGCCAAAATTTCGCACACGTTGTTTGCAAAACGAGAAATCTCGTTTCCCATGTTTTCGCCAACGCGTATTTGCACGTGGAAAAAAAAAATATTAGATTCAAATAAAACGATCACTTCAATACTCCTTAGCAAATTTTTCCTTGTATTAAGTAAATTTTCTTTGGATCAAGCAAATATCTTACTTGGATAATTTACTTGGAAAATATTTTACTGGCAGTAAGTAAATATCATTTGAGATCAAAATAAAACAAAAAAATTTGCTAAGAAGTGTCGGAGTAATTGTCCGAACTTCGCAACTGCCATCCTTTAATACTTCATAACTGTTGTCCTACTTGAGAACGATGATCTTTACTTTCATATTTGTGTTTTACGCGGAAGAATACACAATATTATAAAGTTTCAACCGAATCGGTAGCCCCTTACCTTCACAATTATCGAAAGAAGCGCCCGCAAACACACCTTATTAAAAGTGAATAAGAAGCACGTGGTAATGACAAGCTCACGCTTGTGCGATCTCATTGCAGAAGTTCCTAAGCGAATCTTTGAATCACCTGGAGAAGATGTACCCGGGGAACGGCAGCGGCGTAACAAGCAGTCAGCAGTCGAGTCTCGACACGAATAAGAGCAAGGACGGCACGCTGATGAACGACATGAAGAAGTGACGCCCGGAAGACCCGCCTACCTCGAACGTGGTCACGTCCATCAGGCACTCCTGGCCGTACGAATGAGCCTCGCCGCGCGTCAAGTCCGTCGCGGAAAGCTCTCTCGCAGTGGACCACTGGAAGAACCGCGTACACGCGTCGTAAGTGAACACGCGCCGCGGCGAAAGGCACTCGTTGCGCGCGCCTGCGACGCGACGCGCGCCGTACGCCCGAGGTTGGCTGGTCGTGAAGGCTTCTCTGTTAGGCAATTCGATACGCAGGGTTTGCGTATGTGCGATGTAACGTGCAATCAGGGATATAGTCGGTGGTTGGTTAATAGGGAACGGGAGGACGAAATTTCTCGCTCGTGACGGAGCCCGTCGGGAACTCGAGGACGAGGGACTCGACTCTTTCTCGTTGGTCTCGCCTTTTCCGATGCTTCTGATTTTTCTCTTTTTGCTTCTATTCATTTTCACACGGAGAACTCAATGATGCCTTCTACTTCCGGTTATTTCGATTTGGTCGCATCTATATATTTTTCTTGGAATTTATTGAAGTAAACTTACTCAGATTCAGAATATGTGTTGAATAAATTTGATGTTTATGATGAACTTGTGATATATCTGCAAATGTGTAAAACTTATGAAATACTTAAAACAAATAGCATACAGTACGTCTTTTTCTTTGTTGTGTATAGATGACTAGTCATGGAGAGATATATATAACAGGCTTTTAAAAGCCAAATCACGACATATTATTTTAATTATTGTGGAAGGATATAAATATTTAACGTGTAATGACATACGTACCGGGTTTACTTTCCAAGCAAACGCGCGCGATGAATCTACTTTCCACGTCAAACGAATCCCTAAATCCTAATCATTTTTCTTATAATTCCCCTTAACTCCCTTCTGAAATATCGACTAATTTGGAAGTGGCAGGCATTTTATTAGAGTTCCTTGCAACGTCTCCGCGTTGTGAGAATGTCAGCGACCACCTTCGTCTCTTGCATACGGGGATGGATAGGAAAGTCGCTGGTATACGCAAGCGGATACAAGTAGAGAAATCGATAAACGCGCGTTAAGAGGAAGAGGGGCGAAAAGACGCTGCGAACGCGTACAGAAAATACGATGCGCGCGCGGAACTTCACCCGATTCCCTCGTACCGTCGATCTTCGTTTCTGCCGAAAGTTTCGCACGAGAAAAGCGCGACATGTAAAAAGAAGAGGGAGGGGGAGGGAAGAAGGAGACGAGAGTTGCGCGAGGATAATTTTACGATAGTCGTCGAACGCGCAAGGAACTTAGTGCAATTGTTACTATTAATGTTAATTCGAGTTAATTTCCCCGCGACCGTTCTTGCGAATCCGATCGTCTTGCGTCTGCGACTGATAAGCAGCGATCCGCGATACGGGCGAAACTCATCATCAGACCGGTTAAAAGTACGAACGAGACAAGGACACTCGCTTGATCGGCAAGGAGAGGAATCACACGAGAAGACGAAGGAGGAAGAAAAAAACGATCGAAACTCATCATCCTCCTTTTAACCTCGGCATTTTGGGTTGTTATTATTCGATATCACGGTTTGCGTGTAACACGTTGAGAACTATCGCTCCTCTCTCTCGGAGAAACTTACCTGGAGCCAGCGATCCTCTTTACGTGCCGACGAAAGAGCGTCCAAGTGCAACTCACTCCTCGGTAACCGACGCGTCGGTCATCTCAGCTGGTATCAATCACAATGGAGAGCGTCGTGCGATTAACCGCAGCAAGGATACATACATTCCTAGGTCTGTTCTTTTTAGCTGAACTGGGCTTGCACTTTTTGCCGTTAGAGTGAAACGAGTGACCTAGCGTGGTTATAAAGAGCAGGCCTTCCGCCTTTCACGGCTGTATACCCGCGTGATAGTCAGAAACGACGTTGAAGCCCGAGGAACGGTCGAGAACGAGGCTCCTCCGACGAGGTTCTAGACGCGTCGTGCAGTGTCTTTCTCGACTTCGCGATCGTCGCGATTGCTATTCGATCTGGAAGCACTCTCGTGATGAAGACTCCGCTCTCCTCCGAGGAGCCGTGCGCGAGAGACCGTTCCTGGGGTCGATAAATGCGTGCCAATGCGAAACTTGCCATTCAAAAGATGTGCCAATTATCGATATCGAGCTACTAACGTAAGCGACAAGCGGCCGAGCGTGGAAGAGCGAAGTTGTCCACTTCGCCGGACACGCACGTGACGCGCGCGACGAAACACAGTCTCGTCCCGTCTCGTCGTTTCTCGAGCGCGACGCACACGTGCGCGCGTGTATCTGTGTTATGTGTGTGTGCGTGCGTGCTCGTCGGTCGCGTGTACCTCGGACTGACCCGCCAGTCACGAGAAATTGTATGAAGTACAATACCAGGTGAACCTGAGACATATCTAACTTTGTAATTAAATCTTAAGCGTATGTAAATGTAAGATTTAAAGAAGAGAGCACACGGAAGAGGGAGAAAGAGTAAAGATAGGACAGGAAGGGAGAAACAGAAAGAGGCGGAGAAGAAGATAAGAAGATGAAAAGAGGAAGAACGAAGGGGCAACCTGATCCGGGCGCCTCGAATCGTCGCGGATTATGTACAGAATATTTGAATCTTTCTTGTGATATAATCGTACATTATTAAGATGTAAACCGATAAAAGGTACTATACATTCCATGTTTTTTCATAGAGGTGAAGTATTAGAGAGAGAGAGAGAGAGAGAGAGAGAGAGAGAGATGGTTGTAGAGAGAGAGAGAGAGAAAGAGAGAGAGAATGTGTGTGTGTGAGAGAAACCGGTTCGTCGTCGTGTGGTATCCAACAATCGATGTCGCAGTCACGAACATTCACGTCTCATGGTGTTACCGTGGACAGAGGTGGGACCCACTCTCTTTCTCTCTCTCTCTCTCTCTCCCCAGGAAGGATTCAGCGCCGTAGAGCCGAGAACCCATCTACGAACCTGACCGTACGCATGTGAACCCGCCCGCCCTTTCTCTCCTCGCAAGGATCTTACATTCGCATTCTCACGTGTTATGCGTGGCATTCATTTTCTCTCCTACCTTCCTTCACTCACTCACTCACTCACTCTCGGCGATACGGCGACGGATCCTCGCGAGTACGAGGAAGAACAGCCTCTCGCACACGCGAGGCTCCCACGAGCGCGTGAGTCTTCGAGCACCAGCAGCGGCCGAGACGTAGTCGTAGCCACCCGGTAGTGGCAAAGAGAGAGAGAGAGAGAGAGAGAGAGTCTCCCGCGTCCGCGGGCGTATAAAAACAATTTTGTAAATGTTAAAACGCATTCCCCCACACGCGAAATCCTGCCCCGTCCTCTTGCCAGTCCCCCCCTTCCCCCTCCACCACCACTAAGAATCTGGCGTCTCCGATACTCTGTATTTGTATCTGTATCGCGTATAATTTTTACGTTCGTACGCCACACAGTAACACACGCAAGTAACTTCGTTAATAATATAGTACATAAATTTAGGAGACGTACGAGAGAGAGAGAGAGAGAGAGAGAGAAAAAGTCAGTAACGTGATCTTTATTACACGTGCGCTCGTTATGTGCTTTTGTGGCGATTCGCTCAACAGAAACTGCTACGTGTGTCGTCTGAAACACCGGGGGGTGACGACGACGACTCGTGAGCGAGCGCGAATAAAGATCGCTCTACTGACGATTCACAGCCGCAACCGAGATGCATTCTCAACGCACGTCGAACGGGAAACGTCACTAATTTGATATTGTGAAATCGTTAACGAATAAAATGACGCGAGAGAGGAGAACACGCGAAAGAGCGAGGCACGCGTCGGTGATTGTTTAATTGATTATTATACGAAAGGAAAGTATGACCGAAATTTTTTAGCATGCGTTTCAACAGATACAAGATGTATTGCGTGGACATTTCACAGCGCGGCGCTCCGATCGTGCTCTAAAAGTGAACGCGGATCATAGTGAAACGAAGAAACTTCTTCCGGCTCCCAGGTCATATACGCGCAGAGGGATTAGTTAGGGAAAAGTTAGGGAAAGAAAAGAAGAAAACAAAAAAGGGAAAAAACTCGGCATCTTATTTTCACTCACGACTACTTAGGCGATTTGTTAGAAGCTAAGGACTCTCCCGTAAATTAATACTTATTTATAATCCTTAGGACGGCCGTAGAAATGCGTTTTTCTACCAGAATTTCTGTGCCAACTGCAAAGAATGTTGTAGATGATTTTTGTTTCAAGTTGAAGCATCATTCTAATCTTGTAAGATACTCACAGATATACCTTTATTAAATATATTTGAATTTTTCGTAGTATATTATATTCTGATATTGATTATACAGTTCATTTTTGTATATTGGTGTGTGATAAATAAATAAGAATATTGTTTCTAAGCAATTCTTCTTGTGATGATGACAAATGATCACCTGTCATATAGGGCAGCACATGAACTTAAGAATCAAAGCACAGCGTGCGAGGGATATCGATTTCCAGGACAATCGTGATAATATTTTAGGTAAAATCATATTTTCAAGAAAATTCTAATTTTTTTTCTTCGATTTTCTTTATTTCTCACTTTAAGATCAATATCGATCATAACGTAGAGCTAACTTATCAATCGTCAATCAACAAGTTTGGTTTGATTTTCAATGTCTTCTTCGACTACCTTCGATGATAGTGTTACACTGTAACGGCTGGCAAAATGTTGGTGAAGGATCACAAAATAACGATAACATTTGCTCGATCTTTAAATAAAGTCAAACTGCATGCACAAAAATCGAAACGAAATTTTGTCAGGAAGGGGGGAGGGAGAACGACCCAATGTATCTCATAAAAATATTAGGTGTGTAAATGAGTTCGGTGTTTTTAGTTTTATCTATTTCTAAGGAAGCATTTCAAATCTATAAATATTTCTGCGTTCAAAAATTTGCAGCAATATTGCTACAATTTCTGTGCTGTACAGGTAGATGTGCTCCTATTCTCCCAGCAGCTTAAAAATGCTCAAAAGTCTGCGTTTCATTCATTCTCATGAATCCCAGATAACACAGTTCATTTCATATGCGTCCTTTAAACGTATATAATACAATTATGAAACGTTGTGTAAAGAATACATACATATATGAAATTAACATGCTACCTGGGAATGTTATTCTCGGATTATTATTCTCAAGTACCGTTTATCGCATATTCTTACAAGCAGATCGAAAAAAATAGAAAAGATAAAGAAAAAGCACACCGTTAAACTGCATCGATATCACGCATTGGTTCCTAACAATTTATAGCGAATTATTGCAAATGAAATGTAAGTATACTCACGTCAGCTCACGCGGCACTTGAGAATCCGTCGATCAGAGGTACTGAATTTATTTCATGCCACAAAGAGCGCGATTCCCACGCGACCTCCTCGACCCTTTACCCACCTGAGTAAAATACATGAATATCAATATTAGAACAAAGCAGGATTGGTGTGCGATCTTTCACCGCCACTATGTGTCGGGTTTCACGTGTTCACGGCCAAATATAAATCGGGTAACTTTTGAAATTAGAATCAATTCTCTGTGTTCACATCATCGAGTATCTTTCTCTCTTCCGCGTTCTCGATGTAATATTCCTAATAAGCTAAGACACACACACACGCACACACACACACACACAAAACATGTATTTAAACGTTAAATCGATTCACTAGTTGTTTTTATCACTTGCACAATTTAATTTATCGCGATTATATGAATATTCTATATAAACAGTTTAAAACGGCTCTCGCCGTGAAAGGGATTTAACGTAAAGAGTAATGACAAATAAAAGCCCTAGGCAACGGTAAAAATATTTCTACGAATGTTTAGCCATAAGACGCAAAACTATATAAGCAGAGATATTTTCTTTTTATTTATAGATTTCGTTGACGAAACTTGGCGCATCTGGTGGTCGGGAGTTTTATTTCAGTGTATTTTTCAAAATAAAATGCATCCTGTTATTACGTCATATTTATTTCAATTTATGATGGTTACAAACATGTACATGAATGAATGTATTATTATTTTAACCGCAGATTTGTTTAGAGATCATATCCAATGCTTTTTTTGTTTATACGAAAAATTATCAGTTATAAACATCTATGATTTGTCGTGATTCGAAATACTCTACAGCTGCGTTCCGATATGCACTATCAGTAATGAAAAATCTATAGTTCATTTTATATATACTATAAATTTTCAATATTGGCGGTGAATATCGGAACGCAGCTTATGTAACGCGATTAATAACTCTTTACGCGCGTAAATCTATATATTATGTTTTATGACTGGGACTATGTATATTAAGCAAATAACATAGCGCTGTATATTAGAGCTGATTAGAGCTATTTCATCAACTTATATCATTGATTTATGATCAGTTTATGAACTTAGTTTGCATTGTAAGTCATTTTAGTCATTTAGTTTGTTTCATTTAACGATACAATAGCATTTTATCGAATATATTTCAACAGACGAGTTTCTCGAGAGCTATGCTCCCCTCTTCACAACGCAGGGTGCGTTCAGAAAACACCACGGTTGTGCAACAGTTGAGCGATTATCGCCTTTGATCGAGGTGTTCCTTTAGATTTTGAAATCTAAAAGAATATCCGGATGACGGTAAGCACTCACTCAACGGTTGTGTTTCCTCAACACAGTGGGTCATTTGATCGGAGATTCGTGGAATTTTAACGTGTTTCGATCTTGTTTAGTTCGATCAAAAGTATCCGAAGAAATTAAGTACATTTCTAACAGACGACGATACTACGATCAGTGAGTGTAATCAAATACACGAATATATAATGTAATCTAGTAGCAGTTATTTCACTTTTACATATTGATGTATTTATTGCTTGTCACAACGTTTTATATATTTTATCCCGTTGATCCTCTTGATCCTTTACTCCTTGTCAATAGTTTAATCCCTCCGTGGTCAGAAATTTTAGGAAGGGGATTCTAGGGTCGGAGAAAGGGGCTTTTATAGAGAAATTAGTGAGTTATTGTAGTTGGTAATTCGGGTATTGATATCATTAATGGGACGGGAGTTTAAATCGATTAAAGGGTTCTCAACGAAATAAACTTTTACGCGTGATTAGCCGCACATAGTAACAATTACTATAGTAATAGTATTATAGTATGCATAGTAGGGTGTCAGATAATTAATACGACACCATTCGTGAGCAGATAAAAGAAGCAGAAAACAGCACCGTTTTGCGACTTTCACGGTAGTTGTTAAAAAGTTAATTAAGAATGATTGAGTAATAAGGAATACTATACACGCGGCTTTAGCAACGCGAAGCTGCGAACTATTCTCAATAAATCATTCGATCGATCATTCACTCAATTATATTCATGAATAAACTGCGTGTGTCCAAGATCGTAGTCATCTGTTAGAAATGCATTTAATTTCTTGGAATATTTAATCGAGCTCAGAATCAAGATATACACTGAGAGGAGTGCACTGAGATAGATGCACTAAAAGATGTATTACTGCAAGACATATACCAAATGGTGTAACTAAAGTGTAGAAATTTATTGAAATCCTCAATCAAATAATCCATCTATCAATGTCGGCTTTCAAAGATAACGCGTAACGTGGAAACTTGTTCGTTAAGTACACACAATAGGTAGATTCAAAGTTGCAACACTTTCTTTTGAATAAATTTCGCAATCCAATGTCCGTATCCAAAACGAGAATGTTTTTTTAAAACTTCTCTTAAAGATACGTTTTCTTATTAGATACGATATGCGTTACGAAATTCATCGAAGAAAACAACTTTTAATCTGCCTACTGTGTGTGTGTGTGCAGCCATGCCTACAATACTCCTTCTACCTGTTTCGTCGATTGACTTTCGTCAATCTTCATCAATCAATTTTTGACAACTATCGCAAAAATCGCAAAACGGTACAACACTTTGCCATTCATTTCAACGCGTTCTACCCTATGCTCACGCACGGTATCGTGTCAATTATCGGACACCTCGTAGAATTCGCTTGTTTTAAACAGGAATTAGTTTCTTTTTATGTGCTCTCCTTTATCCAGCGCCCGCGAGAACTCATCTGAAAATTATCGAATTTGTAAATAATACTAAAAAAGAAAAATAAAAAAGAAAGAGGAAAGTGGAGGAATAAAATCAAACAAATCTACTTTCGCAACCGAAGAGAAAAAGATACGACCAAGGAGAGAATGCGAGTGTTTTTCGCGAAGATGAGAAACTGAACAAAAGACAGACCCTCAGAAATAGATTTACGATTGTCAGAATGGAAAACTACTGATTTCAACCCTTAATCCGGATCTATACGACAGACGTAGTAAGCCTTTAGACTTTCGATCCATACGGCAAAATGTAACGACATTTCTGACAAAAGACTGTTTTCGGCGCTGTCAAAAGTCGTGACAACGTTTAAATCCTAAGAATTGCGTCATCATACTTAAGCACTGGAGAAATGTTTTTACCAAAAATTACGTTGCAATTTAATGCTTAGAGCAAAAGACTAAAAGCTCCACTACAACTATTGTAGATCCAGTCTCATGCTTGCGCCAAATCGCCGAGATAAAGTGATAGTGTTTGCGCGTCGTTACCATTTTAATCGTGTGTTAGTCCCCGTGCCTCTTCGACCGTTTATGGGCGATTTCTTTCGTTTACCGGTTTCTGCATCGTAGGCATCATAGGCCGCCGTGCATTAGGAGGGTTACTCGCCAACGGATTAGCGCTATGAAATAATAATGTAAGAGACAGAAAATATTTAGAGGAATATATATGGGCGATTAAGATCAAGATAAATTTAGCGGATGACTTTTTTTTTGTATAGGTGTTTACTTGGAAGGTCGAGTATACGGGGCGGTGCGGTAGCGCGAGGCTGTGCCCGACGTCGTTGTGGTCTTGTACGATTTCCATGCACGGCTCGATGATTCCTCTGCGAATTGCATGGATTGATAGGTTTTAATTATTTTGCTGGCGGACACACCACGATAATCGTTAATAATCTACGTGCTAAGTGTTCTATGCGCGGCTCGTCGTTCCTCGTCTTTACGTACGCGGCAATATTCGTGAGAACGGTGGGAAATCGGGCGATAAAAGAATGCGGTGCGCCGCATTTTCAGAAACGTCGCCCTCGCTGCCAATGCAGAACTCGATCGCATGCACGAGCGTCGTTCAGCGTATTCCCCTTTTCACGGATTATCGAATTTTATGACAGTTTGATCGATCTGTGTGTTTTATATCATTATTAACGGCTAGTTTTTGACCAACCAGCGAGAATGATAGGCCGATGGAAGCTTAGTCGCAGGATCTTTGACGCGAAATTATCAATTTCTGACAAGTTTCTCGCGTCACGGTTATTGAAGAATTATTGATCGAGTGCTATTTTTCTTACACGAAATCGAGAGCAAAATATTTAATTAAAAGTTAATAAGTTAAGTTTAGTTTTCAATGCATTCCCATGCACATGACACATTTTAATATTTTTGTTTTATACGTAGGCGAACATTTTTTTTTTTTTTTTTTACCAAAATGACGTCTGTCCATTGATTGTAATGATTGAGGTATATTCGAGAGAAATATTAATATCACGCAACTATCCATTTGGGCATTTACAAAAGTTATAATAAATTCGACGAATTGTTATTAAAATGGAATTTTTTAAAATATTTTTACGCAAATTTTAACTTAACATATATATCAGACGATGAAATATATAGTAAAAACGTGATCGTTTACCTGGATAATCTGATGATTCATAATAATCATGAGAAGAGTGCGGACCGGAATCATCGTCGTATTCATAAGTCGTGTATCTTGAAGAAGGATACATGTCATCTCTGTAAAAGAAAGACAAGAATATCCATTACTTAACGATAACTACATAGCTAAAATATTATTATAAGAGATTTCGCTTAGAAAAATAAAAAAGGAATCTAAGTAAAAACTAGTCCAAGTAATGTATATATACAAAAAAAAAAATTTGTGTGAAATATGGTAATTATAGTGGTGAGAAACTTAAATTATATATAAATACCCTGCTCTGTTTTTTTTCTCACGATTCTAAGGCCGGTAGTCAGATCTTATATTTAATACGTTCAGTGCTGAATCGTTTTAACGCGACTTTTAAAACACGCCGCATGTACCGAAAATGGTACACGATATGAAATGTTAACTTGACATAGAACTTTCCTTTCTAATCTCTTTTCTCATGATTTTGTCAATGTTAATTTTACGACTTATTTATTGACAGTTCGAGTGAAAGTATTCATCCTATTTTACAAGTGTACTGAATTGATCGCAAACGTCATTATATCTTTTTAATTGAAGGTATAACGGAAGAATTCTTGTCATGCGTTTTCTGTGCCGTCATTAAACAAGGATAGTCGCAGTGAGTAGTCAGCGAGCCTTCAAAATGCTCCAAACGTGATAACAGAGCACGAAAGAGTGATCAAACAAATTATTTTACTGTTTTTCGTCTTCCAACGATAAAAAATATCGGTTGTCATGGAAATCGAATTTGGCATACACCGAAAACAGTACATGTGACACTGAACGTGTCAAGAGCGTCTTAAATTTGTCTTCAGATGCTTCGCAGCCAATGAAATGAACCATACAACATCTAAAGATGAACTTAAGACAATCTTAAATATAAGATCTGACTATGAATACCGTCTTAAAATCTTTGATACATACCCAGAGCTCGATGAATAATGACGATCACCATACCTAGTAGTGCTAGTCGAACTTGAATGGTAATCATAGTCGTGATGCGACCCGACGCGATTGCTTGGCGGAGGAGTTGGACTTTCATAGCTGTAAGGGTGAAAATTACCCGATACATCGTTTGATTTACATTAACTATATACATATACTATTACATTCTTAAGGAGGGCCACTGTCAGACGCAATTCCTCCCGGACATCCGCCGGCAATAAATACATCCACAGGCTCCGAAAAACCTACTTTATATATAGCCTATTTAAAGAATATAAGCTCACCCGTAACTCTGATCCATGGCAGCTCTCGCACGATCCAAAATGGAGAACACTTTTGTCTTGGGCGGTACAGGTCGAGAGAGTGGTCCGCGATTTGTAGGTGGCGGTGGAAGAATAGCTGAAAAGTCAACATTGTCACGTTTCAATCGACATAAAATAGAAATCAAAATCGCGTTCTTTTTAGTTCTACATTGGACGGCATTCCCATATTTCGTATCACATCCTTATCGTGGACGTGCAACTAACCTCTGGATGTCCTAGGTAACGTCGGCCTAGTACTAGGTCTCAATATGCCGCCAGTGGCAGGGACTGAAGGCCCTCTCATACCTGGTCTTCGATCTTCCGTGCCTGACTCGTCAGACATGGTCATCTCCATCTCTCGCATTTGTTCTTGACGTATATTATCATTATTGTCAGGGATCAAGTACTTCCGCACTTCAGCGAGGGCGAAAGCGATACGAGCGTAGGCTTCTGCGGGTGGCGCAAGTGCAGTAATCTCCACGTGCAAGTCGTCAGCAAGATGAGCATATTTTGGATCTAACGAAGCACGATATTCTTCCTCCTGAGATAAAAAATGAGCGAAACATTTGTTTTGTATGCAGAATAGACGCTGGAATAAGCATTAAAGAAAGAACGATCGTTACTTACCTTCTGTCTGTCTCTCATGGATCCTCTGCCCAGCACTGCCATCTTGCACATAGTCTCCTCTTGCAAACGTTTCATGGAGTTACCCTTGGGACCCAGCAATTTTCCGACAAAATTAAACTGAACAAACAAATTGCACAACTGAAACGTCAGAAACTTTCTCGATAACTGTTTGTATCACTGTATCGAGTAAATAAGCAGAATTGGAAAACATAGAAATTAAATACAACTCTTGTGTCTTATTCAAAGAAAATTATTTAATACTAAAGCCTATTGAGAGCGGAGCTCAGGTCTTTTACTGCCGTACATAAATCCAAATTTCATATCGGAAATCATATGAACGGTTCACCACCAATCATTTTCCATCACTTCTACATAAATAATTTAAGTATTGTCCACATGACATTTACACGAACTTTTTTCATGTAGACAATGTAAATTATGTGAAATATTATAAATTACATAGTATAGTGCAAAGGGATAAAATATTTATTAAAATTAGTTTAAATCACAAAATGATTCAATTTTGTTAATTATGAAGATATTAAATATTGAAAAGCTTATATATATATATATATATAATAAAATCCTTGTGTTATTTCTGCATATATATGTATATATATATATATATATATATATATA